GCCACCTGGATATTAACGGTGCGATTCTCGTGTTTGAACGCTCCGATAGCCACCCAAAGGCCTCCGATCAAGAATAGCACGAATCCAAGGAAATGAAATATAAATTCCTAGTTTTCATACGAATATACAAAACAATAAAAATTAATAGATTTGTAAAGTTATGGGATATAACTTACAAAACTTGTTTTCGGCAAAATACAAGCCGTTCCCAATGATAACAGCGCCGATATTAACATAATGGTAACGGTATACCAATTGGCAAAGCAAACCAACACTAAAAACTGCTCCGGCGGTAAATACCAATACCCGGATGACTTGTCAGCATCCAGAAGGAGCAGAACGAAACAAATCAACGAAAAAATCTATCGATAATTTAAAACATTTTTAGTTTTTGACACTTATGTTAAAATGAAAGGTACAGACAAAGTAGTCACGAAATATTTTAAATTAAATTTATTACATAAATTATTGATATAGTCATATAGAGACTATCTGGATGGGTTGTGCATTGAATAATGAGGGTAAGTATTTGACATTTAACTAAATATGCGATAATTATTGTATTGTCTACAGAAAATCAATTGATCTTTAGATAAATTTTAGGGTAAATAATGAGAGGCGTATTTTACTGTATATTTAATAAATTAAATAAATATCAGATTAAAATANATATTTAATAAATTAAATAAATATCAGATTAAAATAAATATGAGCTCATTTCACATAAAACCCCGAATAAGTCATGTCTGATGTATAAGCAAAACCCAATACTTGATCTAAATTTAGATATTGTTTGCGAAAAGAGTTGCTTTTAGTCTTACATAAGAATATGCTTTTAGTATTTCTCTTGTTATATAAATATAATCAGAGGATAAAAGAAAGTGTTCCTAAAAAAATTCCTAAATAAAAAACATTGAATTCAATTACAATAATAAATATTTAATATAAATTTGTTATCCAATAGTTAATAAAATTAAGACAAAACTCAAACGACTTTTTGTAAAAATTCTCGGAATAAAATGCAAAAAGTTGTAAACATATGAATGATTAATGTCTTTTAGAACTGATATTATTATCTCATGTAAATTATATTAATATTTCCAAAGTACCCCCAATTTGGACTCTCTTTGATCTGAAAATATCTATTTATCACATTTTATTATAATAAACAATTTATTTTAAATATTTTTAATCTCATAAACAAAACATATATTTGAAATCCAATAGTATTCCACATAATTTGATCTTTCAATTGCTATAAATTGTTAAAATGAATGAATATCTGTAATTTATTGCTCGAGTTTTACTTCAATCGGTTTAAAACAAAGTATTTTTCGGTTGAATTCATATGAAGTTCATTAAAATGCGCTAAATATAGTCGTTATGATAACAATATAAAACAAGTCATAAATGTATCCAAATGTCTATCCAAATGAAGAGCAGAGGGAAACCTTTACCAAAAGCAGTAGTTTAACGATTCCCAGCTTTGTTGACAGGTATCCCGTATTGATCACCAATACTGAGGCTCTGGATGTGGTGGTTGTGGTGGTCTGTCGGACCTGAACTGTTGCTGTGGACGGCATAATAGCTGCACTCAATTCCCAAAACGACTTTCAAATTGATTTAATTAGAAACTAATGATAAAAACGATAACTTTGTGTGGCTTTCGATAAGCGATGACTGAACAGAATATAAGGACTTAATTATGAATAACTCTACGAATAAATGAAAGAGTGAAGAAAAAGTGAAAGAAAGGCTGAGATTGTCGGACACTTCAACTTCTATTTTAGTATTTATTTAACGTTAGAAAAAACAGTTGAATACGACTTTTTGGTTGATGTGATGATGGGTTTGGAGTTTGCTCGCTAACTGGATAGCGTAGGCATATTGTATGGCAATAATGGGCACATCCTCTGCACAGTTGCTCTTCTCAATGGGGATTAGGGTGTGGTATGGCTACAGATAATAGCGACAAATAATTTTTTAATTTCACAAATATTTGACAATTGGTTTTTGGGAATTGATTTTGTGTTTGTTTTACGCAATTAATCTCAATTACAAAATAATAGAAAGACTAATGTATGATAATTAAACGTAAACCTGTGTTAAGTAGTGGTGTAGTGGGGCTTATGCTTAATATCTATATTTACAAAACACTAAAACGATTATCATTGATGATTGAAATTAGTAAATATTTAACAAAGAAATTATTTATTTAATATATTGAGAGAAATCTAATCTATTCCAATACTTCCGACACTACAGCCTGGGGCAGATGATCCCAACCAAAGTGGAAGCTATAGCAATAATTATCACAGCATAAACAGTGTATTTTTTCAACCCTTTTTGTCATCAATGTGCGAAAAAATTTGCACTGTTTTATGCTATATTACGCCATAGTTTTCGGCCATAAAGAAGTCGTGTCCACCCAAACCGCAGCCCACATCCAACACACGCTGACCTTTCTTCAGCTCCAGAAGCGGTATAATCTCTTTAGTGGTCTCGAGTCCGCCAGTGGACAGATATCCCTCTCCGAAGATCCACTCGTATTTCTTGACTCCGTGTTTGGAGTACTGGACGTCGTCCAGAAAATCCTGAAAACTTTCATAATAATTGGTCGATTGAGTCGTCATTATTGCCAACAATTATTTCTACCAACTTTTTAACTCAAGAAAAACGAATGGATACCAGAGAGACAACAATTTGTATGTTTATATACTTTTTTATATCAAGATTTAAAGTGAACTTCAATTATGTTCGTGGCTTCAGAGTTGGGATCAGAGTCTGGTCTCGCAGTTATCTTAATTGTGATATTTTTAGTAAAATATAGCAGTAATTATCTTCACTTTATAACGGATTCGTTATCTCAATGAGTAATTCAACTATATTTAGCCCTAATATATACCCTTATTGTAAGACAATTAATAATTGAACAAATAATACTCGTATACTGAAAGATACATGTGTTTGTTGTTTATTGGATTACAACTACTGTATTTATTTAATGCTAATTCCATTTAATTTTATTATCCCTGTTTAATTTGTGTCAATTTTTTTAAAACTTTGTCTTATTTTTAATTATGATTTGGCATAAAACTATTAGTTCATTGGAAACTTTTTATTAAATAATTTAAATGGTCAAATGAGTTTATGGCAACGATAATTCTATAATATAGAATCTATATGTAACTTTTTGTCTATAACTTAAAGTTACTCCTATAGACTATGATAACTCTATGGCTAATATTGAATTGTATTATACAAAATGTTAAAAATACATTTCAAAATTAATTAATTTGTGTTTTGCATACTCCAAATTTAAGTTAACTTATTACTTTGCTTACAAACCTTGTTTCAAATTTAAGTTTAATGTTTTATGACTTCATGCAATTAAGTACATTATTGGTTTAAATAAGTTATAAAAACTTGTTTTTAGGACTTTTTGATTAAAAATTGATTTCGTAATACATTTTGCAATTAAACGCCTATAGGAATGACATAATCTATTTTGTGTTAACATTTCACAACCCATAGCCATATCAATGGCATTACCCCTACATTAATATCTTGCGAACCAAATAGTCATCCGATTCGGTGGACTCCCGACCCGTCACACCCTTCATCTTATCTGTTAGTATAAAGTATTGTACAGTAATACTGTAATACTGTAACAGTACATTACTGTATATGAGAAAAACAGTAATTATGTTACTTAAAACTGGTGACCACTAGATATGACACTTAATAACACTCACCAATTGGTCCTAAATTATCATTAGTTTTAAAGTTTAACCCACCGTTGAATGCATGATATGATTGAATGATTCATTTATTTAGCGATTTCAATAATTCTGTAATTATTTCAATTAATTAACGTTTAATAAAATCAATCAATTTAGAAAATCGTAAATAATTATTGTGTATTTGTAATACAAATTTTGTATACTTTTAACTAATTTATTAAATTAGTGAACCATTAAATGTTTATTCTAAATGCACTTCAAATTATTTGCATTTAAACACTGACATTGAAATACATCTAAATTTACAATACCATATATATTCGTATATTGGCAACATATTCGTGAAAATCTAGTTACAAATTAATAAATGAGACAATAATAAAACAATATTAGACAGAATTCAAGCCAATCATTCATTGGTTATATTTAATTGCCGTCAAAACTGATTTCAAAATAAGTACAAAAATTCGGTAAACAGTAAAAAAGTTTATCTGATTTTATATTTTCTTTTATAAAACAATGAATTTAATAAAAAATTATGTGTTCAACACTTCGAGTCATTGTATTATCTATTATTGATGGCAAACATAATTATCGCTTTAATTACTTTTCAAACATATAACTTAAAAATAGTTTTAAATTACACAAAAAAATTCTCAGATATAGAGATATCAAATAAAAGAGGCAAAAAAGATCACTGAAACTGATCCAAAAATGCATTACAACAACGCAAACACTGTTCATAATTGGTCTCAAAGCCCTTATCGCCGCTTTCATAATAGGGGTCTTTAATGATGGTCTGCTTCTGGGGGTCGTATTTGCCCAACAACTCGACCACACATTTGCTGCCTCTGGGCTTCTCGTCGTTGATATCATCGATATTATTGGTATCCATTCCGAAGATGTACTCAAACCGGTCAAAGTCTTCGTCGCATAGCTGTCGGGCCCTGTGGTCGGTGTGGACGCCATGTCTTCGCAAAACAGTGAGCGCTCGTGAGTCGGGTCGGTTGCCGACGTGCCAATTGCCTGTCCATCACATCAATTCATAGTATCATTAATTGTGTCATTAATAGTCATTAAGTCATGCAATGGTAATACCTGTGGCGGCGCTGTCTGTGAACCACTTGTCTTCAAGACCTCGTTGTTTGAGGACATGACTGAAGACGGCCTCAGCTATCGGTGACCGACAGATGTTTCCCAAACACACGAACAAAACGCCTCTCTTTTCACTCATTTTGTCAATAATTTAATTATAAATTTGTATTCAATTTATTTTAACAATAATTTTAATAAAACATAAATAAAAGTTTCGCAACTTTTCTGTGTTTATAAACAATAATTTACATTCAATTCATTCATAAATTACATAAACTTTGCATTTGTTGTTAATACTGTATAAAGTTTTGAATTAAGACTTAATTATTAAGTTAAAGTTAACTCTTAAACAGTAAGTATTCAATTAATTTGATTTATAAAATATTCATATTTTACTAAATATTTAAATTTTTAAATAAATAAATTTAATATATAGTTAAAAGATGTGCAGGTAAACATTTTTAATATGACCATGACCAAAATTAAGGCATGTAATAGTTGCTGAAAACTATTAGTGAGATTCCGGGAATTTAATAATTAAAATTAAAAAGGCCTTTGCAAGTTTTTTTTAATTAAATGATATTTATTTTTTTGTTCATTAAAATTAAGCACAAAAACAATACATTGTTTGCAGTTAACACATAATGTGTTTTCACAAAACATTGGTTTTCATATAAAAGTCTAAACATAAAACAAACTAAATGTATTTTATGCAAATGTTATTTTTTAACAAACTTTGATTTTGTATACTTTTAAGTAATTTTCATATAAATTAAATTTAATTTAAGCAAAATGTTGAGAATTCTTCAAATAATAACACTTAGTATATAATTATATCAGTTATAGTAAGAGTATTAATGATTTTGATTTATTTGGTATATTTTGTTTCAGTAAATAAGCTTCAGATTCTTAATTGATTTTAAGCAAAAATAGCTATAAATGTATAATAAATTAATTAATTATGATAAATTTTACTCTAATATTATACCAATACATAAATTATAAACAATAATTTTATATAATAATTACTAGATCTAATATAAAATGAGATGAATAAATAAGATGTGGGCGAATATTCATATACCGGTATATAATAGTTATAACTTATAAGTAATTATGACATTAATGTAAATTAAGGCAATTTTATCAAACTTATTGACACAAAGCTCTTATAAATTAGTTGTTTTGCTTGATTTGGATAATTAGTTGTGAATTGGCGTCAATTAAACCATCAATTAATTGATTTAAATTAAATTTCATCTGAAAAATTCATCCAAAAAATGTGCTCTCCTTTTGACTATAAATAAAATAAAATAAAACAAACAATTTATAACTAATTAATGCATCAAAATTTTGCAACATTTCCAAAGCAACAGCAATTATATTCAGATTTTTGGGCTTTATATTAAAATATTTCTGTAATATTTACTATTATTATATCTATAAATTGAAAATACTGCAAAACCAGAAAATACCATTAAATTATATAAAACTACTAATTCATAATAACGCCCAAAATTCTGCTGTGAATTATATATATATTCTTATAATCACCGATTATTAAAGCAATAAAGTGTGCAATTCTGCAATTAATTGTCAATTTTGTGTCAATTTGTAATACAGAGTCTGTAAGAGAAGATTCCGTGAACCAAATGAAGGATTCCGCAAATAAGTGCCAAAATCTACCGCAAAAAAGTCATAAA